CTAAGATCATGGAAAAAACAAACAGTATTGCCTAATTAAGTTCCATTCTCCTGGAGTATGTAATGGTGAACCCCTTAGCATGTGACTATTTACACTGTACCAAGAGAAGTGTGTACTTTATCAAGCAGTAATAAGTACATGTCAAAGGTCAAGGAAAAACAGGAAACAAATTAACCTCGCCTTACACCTGTATAGCTACATGCACAATACAAGCGGCACTGTCTGTCGTTGACTGATACGAAAACGTGTAAGCGAAAACACAGGTAAGTTAAGGGGACATAATCCTTATAAGCAGTATTTATAATGACACAGGACAAGGTGTAGGTCTAGGAGTTTTCAGCAGAAACTATAAAACGCAATGATTGGGTGGGTGTTAACTATACATCAACCATACTGTGCATGCCAACTGTACGACGCATAGCAAAGGGCAGTACAAAGTCCGACTTTATGTTGGGTTATCATCAAGTATAAATAACGGGAATATAAAATATGGACAATGTATGTGAGATTCATTTTCAAGGTTTCAAGGTCTGCACAAATCAAGAAACAATATACTGTAAAATACTTTATTTTAGCTGGAATTAATTTTCGTTGAAAAGACGTTTTGTATGGAATTTATTTTGACTGATTTTTGACGAGTTGAATGTAAAGTATAGGAAAAAGGGTAAATTCAAAACTAATAGAAAACAACAAAATATTTTAGGGCTCTGAGCACTCATGAACTCATGCATCTAGACCATAATCACAATAAAATGATGATTTTTTTTTGTAGTGTTACTTATTCTTACTGTTGAGTTTTACCAATAATCATCATTTGTGATTCTCCTAACATTATAGAAATGCAATGTACATTTAAAATTTTTTGATGTAAAAACGTACAACTACAATCTGCTTCCACAAACAGACAAACAAACATAATTTGATGCAAAATATGAAATAAATAAGATCTCAATTCAGATTACATGAAATCAGATTAATATAACTTGCGTTACATTATATATTACAGACATGGGTACAGCAGCCTCTGATGCAGGAGGTCCTAGTGCTGTCTTGGAGGAGCTTAATGAAGACTTCCTGTCTTGTGCTATATGTCTAGAGCGGTATTCAGATCCAAAGATACTACCATGTCAACATACATTTTGTAAGAAGTGTCTAGTGCAGCTAGCTGAGAAACGAGCACCCAATACTTTGATGTGTCCAACCTGTAACAGGTCAGTAGGGGTACCCGTCAGGGATCTGCAGTCTAATTTCTTCATGAGCTCACTTCTAGACAAAGTACCTGAGAAACCGGAAGCTGTCAGCCCTCAAAAGTGTGAATTTTGTGACAAAAATGAAGTTTCCTCCATCTGCGTTGAATGCGAACAGTATTACTGTACAACTTGTATTAAAGTACATAATAAATCTAAGGTGGCAAGATCTCATAAAATTCTATCAGTGAAAGAATATCACGAGGTAAACAAGAAGAAACCATTTGCTGTACAGCCGCTACAATACTGCGATGTCCACATAGAAAACCAGTTGAAATACTACTGTGACACCTGTCAGACACCTATATGTATAGAGTGTACAATCATAGATCATAAAATTCCTAAACACTCAAATAGATGTATAAAGGAGGTGGCAGATGAGTATTCTGACGAATTAAAGGGGAAGGTCAGAAAGTTAAAAGTGAAAGCAGATGAAGCTGAGACAAGTAAAATGTCAGCCAAGGCAGCCTGTGAAAAACTG